GGCGGCGCTGCTGGACGGGGTGTTCGCCTTCATCCTGCTGGACACCGAGAAGAAGAAGGTGTTCGTGGGGAGAGACACGTACGGAGTGAGGCCGCTCTTCAAACTGAGCACAGACGACGGGTTCCTGGCTCTCTGCTCAGAGGCCAAAGGTACCGTAGATCTGGGGCCTTTATTTGTATTTATTGATGTAACGGGGTCAGTGTGTCATTAATACACATGTCTGTAAATGTGCCAAGAGGCTGCTTTTCATCTGTAGTCCCCGGACAGACTCTGTAAGTCACCCTAAAAACACATTTTATTTAAAATAACAAGTGAATACAATCAGTAAAAACATTGCAACATAAAGGCTTACAGTACTGGGAATGCTAATAAAGATAAATCATACGTGTGACATAGCAAGGAGACAGCAACCGGTTAAAGACACTCAGAGGGTTTTACATTGCAGTAGATCATGACAGAGCTAAATGAGATTTAAATAAACTGAATGTGTTTTTGTTTTCTGATTATTGCTGGGATTGAGCTCCTGCATCGGGTAACAGGGGGCGCTGCGCCCTCAAACCAAAATGCAGATTTTCCCCGTAAAATGTTAAAGTGATCAGAAAACAACATTTCTGTTCCTCAGAAACTATGATTCCTCCAGAGATATGAGTATCAAACAGACAGCTTTGTTTTTACGGAGCTCCGACGTCACGTTGTTGTTTACGTCACGTTGTTGTTTACGTGAGATCTTGTTGACGGGCGTCATGTTCTCCTGAGAATTGATATCTTATAAAAAAGATCACAGCACTCGTACTACATCTTTCTGATAACTCTCTGTTGTTCTTTTGCTCCCAGGCCTCACAGAGATCACTCATGCCATGCCGTCTCCTGCCAGCATCGAACCGGTCCTCCCGGGACACTTCGAGGAGTTCGACCTGAAGCAGAACGGGAAGGTTAGCTCCGTTCAGATGGAGGAGTTTCACTGCTGCACCGACGGGCCCGAGCACGCTGTCTGCGACTCGCTGGAGGCGCTGCCATCAGGTGGGGAAAACAGATTTAAATCACATGAACAGCTGAAGCGCCCCAGGCCCCCCAGCAGAGCCATTTATTTATATTATCTAGCGTTGGTTCGATTTAGGAAGCACTTTGAATGAATTATTTAGTATAAAACTGATGTTTCTCCGCAGGTTTTGACGAGGAAACGGTGAAGAGCAACATCAGGACTCTCTTTGAGAACGCAGTGAGGAAACGCCTCATGGCTCAGAGGAGGATCGGCTGTCTGCTGTCAGGTGAAATCATACCCTTAGATTTCTTAAAACAGAAACAGTAGGCATATTTACCTGGGTGACGCGCCCTAATGCTGTCTGGAGGCTAACTGCCGTTGGTGGAGGAGCTATGCAATCAGCTCTGTGTTGATTGACAGCTCTGTGTTGATTGACAGGTGGGCTGGACTCCAGTCTGGTTGCAGCCACTCTGATGAAGCTGGCTAAAGAGGAGAACCTGCAGTATAAAATCCAGACTTTCTCCATCGGATCAGAGGACAGTCCGGACATCCTCGCTGCTCGAAAGGTCAGGAGCACACAGACAGGCTTTAGAAAGGTTCACATAAGTTAAAGTGGACATATTATTCTATATTGGAAACATATATTGTAGGGCCATACCTATACAAAACATGTCTGTGAAGTTTTTTGCTTAAAATACCAAACAGGTCACCCAGAGCCTCATACTGCTCATACCCCTCTTTTGCAGCCCTGTTCCAAACAGGCTGATTCTGCTTTAAATTGAACGTCTGTTGCTAGCCACGCCCATTTGTAGCTGCTGCTAGCCATGCCCCTTTGTAGTGTCACGCATCTTTCCCCTGCTAAGAGAGCTTTCTACCGGGAGAAGCTCGGCTAAACGCTGCGGTGATTAAATGCCATATTATGTTCCCAACCACCAAGCATTATTTCTGAAACAGTATGGAGCTCAAACCTTTCTCTCCCGCAGGGTTTACCAATA